TTCCTCATGAGCACAATTAAGTGTTCTGGAATTCCTATTCTTCTCAATGTTATCCATAATTTGTCATGATCCACACAGTCAAATGCTTTTGCATAGTCAGCAAAACACAAGTAAACATCTTTCTGGCACTCTTTGCTTTCAGCCAAGATCCATCTGACATCAGCTATGATATCCCTCATTCTACATCCTCTTCTGAATCCAGCTTGCATTCACAGAAAATCCAGAAGAATTTTAAAAATCCCGCTGCCATCGGGTCAGCTCTGACTCATAGCGACCCCTCCTTGGTTTTCTGAGGCATTATCACTACAGAATAGATTGCCCAACCTTCCTTCCGGGGAGTGGCTGGAGGGTTTGAACTACCAGCCTTCTGGTTAGCAGTCAGATGCCTTAGGCACTACACCACCAGAGCTCCCCAAAAGAATTTACAAACATGAAATTCATAAAGTAGTAACAAAGTCACAGTATGCAAGATCAACATACAAAAATCAATCCTATTTCTACATACTAATAATGAACGTATGGATACTAAAAACATTTACACTGCACCAAAGAAAATGAAATACTTAGGTATAAAAAGAAAACATATACAGGATCTGTATGCTGGTACAATCAAGGACAATATAAATAAAGGGAGATTCATCCAAATTACAATATATTTTTTTTAAAAGAACAATTATACCAGAAACATTCAGAACATTACAAATAAATAAATAAATGGAGATGCACACCATGTTCACAGACTGGAAGACTATATACAAAGTGAAGATACTGAGTCTCCTTAAACTGATCTATATAGATCTAATGCAATTCCTATTCAAGATCAAGTAAAATTTTTATAAATACAGACAAGCTTACTCTAAAATAGACATGGAAAGGCAAAGAACTAAACCTTAGGGAGCAGTGTATTTGAAAATGGGGGAGGAACAACTCAGTAAAGGAGAATGAATATGGCTGCACAACTCTAAGAATGTAATCCTAGTTACTGAATCATATGTGTAGGAGTATGTTGAATTAGCATATGTTTTGCTGTGTATATTCTCAACAACAATAAAAATAAATATATTAAACAACAAAAAAGGCAAAGGAACTAGACTAGCTAAAACAATCTTGAAAATTAATAAAATAGAAAGAAATACTACATACACTAATAAGGCCTTCTTTACACCTACCATAATCAAAACAGTGTAGTACTGGCAGAGAAACAGACACATAGGTCAATGGAACAGATAGAGTACCCAGAAAAAGTACCCATGCCCAACTGATTTCTGAAGCAAGTCAATGGAGGAAGAGTTGCCTTTCAACAACTGGATGTCCACAGGCAAAAAATAACCTTCAATCTAAGTCTCATACCTTACACAAAAATTAGTTCACAATAGATCATTGACTTACATGTAACACAAATAAAGGCAAAAATATTCAGGACTTTACAGCAAGGCAATGAGAACTTAGACTTGACACCAAGGGCATGAGCCAAAGAAAAATCTGATAAACTGGACTTCATCAAAATTTAAAGCTTTTGCTCTGTGAAAGAGCCTGTTAAAGGATGGAAAGACAAACTACAGACTCAGAAAATATTTGTAAATCATGTCAAAGGACTAACATCTAGAATGTATTTTTAAAAAAAACTTTCAAAAACTCAACATTAAAGAAAGCAAACAATTCATAGACAGGAAAAGACATTTCACTCTAGAACACATACAGATGGCAAAAAAGCACAGGAAAAGATATTCAATCTCATGAGCCATTAGGGAAACAGAAATTAAAACCACAATGAAGTATCACTACACACCTAAAAGAAAAGTTTAAATAAATAAAGTAGTCACACCAAATGCTGACAAGGATGCTGAGAAACTGACTCTCATGCATTGCTGGTAGAAATGTAAAATGGTGCAGCCACACTGGAAAAGGTTTGCAGTTTCTATAAAAATTAAACAAACACATACCTTAAGACTTAGCAATTCTTGGCACTTACCAGAGAAATAAAAACATGTTCACACAAAGACCTGTACCCAAATTTCATAGCTAGTAAATAAACTATCACCCCTACTGTGGATGAACTAATGATATATGCAACAACTTAAAGTTACAATTATGCTTAGTGAAATTGAGCATGATTCCATTTACCTAACAATCTTGAATGACAAAAATACAGAAATGGAGGTGGTTATTGTTGTTTGGTGCCATCGAGTCCTCTCCAACTCACAGCGACCCCTCCTTGGGTTTCCAAGGCAGTGTCACTATGGAAGTAGATTGCCCAATCTTCCTTCCAAGGAGTGACTGGTGGGTTTGAACCACCAACCATGGAGATTAGTGGTAGCCAAGATAAGGAAAAGGGGTAGTGGTGAGAATATAAAAGGGCGACATAAAGGATCCTGTAGTGATGGAAATGTTCTGCATCTTGCCTTTTATTGTTAGTATTTTGGCTTGATAAAGGTAGTCCCTGTCTTACCATGGGACTCCATTCCAAAGACTCCATCATAAGTCAGTTCTGACATAGGTCAAGACTTTTTTTTTCCATTATCATTGCCTTTTATTATCACTATCTTTATAAATCTGATCTTTGTCTTTGGGAGTTCTAAACATTACATATAAACTTACAGACAGGGCTTTGAACCAGTTCAGTCACAGCCTACAAAACAAAACCTGGAGACCCGGATTTTAAAAATTTTGACTCCACAGAAATAACTGGAACAGAAAAAATTACAGGTCAAAGCCCTGGAATGGGAGACTCAAAAGAGGCCATGTTGTTGTTGTTATATGCCATCGAGTTGGCCCCGACTCATAGCGATCCCTCCTTGGGTTTCCGAGGCAGTATCACTACGGAAGTAGGATTGCCCAACCTTCCTTCCAAGGAGTGGCTGGTGGGTTTGAACCGCCAGCCTTCTGGTTAGCAGTCAAGTGCCTTAGGTACTATGCTACCAAAGCTCCTCAAAAGAGGCATAGTGAGCCCCTTTCAAGAGCCTGATGTGGGAAATTGGAATATTGGTGAAAACTAGAGAACCACACACATTCAAAGCAGTGAATCTTTGTGCCTGGAGCTTCTGCAAGGAAGAGATTTGGTTGTTATGCAACACTAATACTATCCCTATGAGAGAGAGATGAAATTTCTAGCAGGTTTGCAACTTGAAATTCTTTATTATTGTTCCAGCTCACCCAAATTTAAAAACCGTGGGTCTGTTCTAGTGTTGCTTCCTCAGCCATGATTCATGAACTGACCTGAACAGATTCAAAGCCCTGCTTATAAATACATACTTGATATATACATTAAAATAATACACAAATAAGAATTTACCTTGAGGATAAAAAGTTGGATGGCACTGGCATTTTGTCAGCTGTTTACAGTAATAATGCCATTTGTGGAAGGTTCCAGATCCTTTGGATTATCTTTGGGAGTGGAGATAGCACTTCTAGTCAGAAAATTACTGAGAGTTGTCTGTATGGCCCTTTCCTTTTTTCCTTCATATTTTTCACAGTAACTTCTCACTGCTTGAAATCTGCTTAACCAACATTAGCAACGTGATCAATGTTTTAGTTTAGAAAATAAATCTATGGCAGTGTTTTGAACAGTAAATCATAAAATTCAACAGTGAATTACACATTGTAAGTAGTCCATTTTAGTAATAAGATGTATCAAAAAAAAAAAAAAAAAAGTCTAAACTTGGGGACTACCAGTATTATATATGTTATCATCAAGGTAAACTGAATAAAGCCAATCACTGTATTCTTACAAATGTGAATCTGTAATTATTTCAGCATTGGCCCCAATGATGAAGAGGATGAACTTACATACACAAGGCCCTCCCACCTTCCAGTCTCCTTGGGAACACTGCACATCTACCTAGCAGTCTAGTTCTCTGTACACCCTAGATGGCTTATGCTGTATTTCATGCCTGTCCTTAAGTTTAGAATGCTCCTTCCTTTCCCCCTTTTGGTCAGTTTTATCAGCTCCTTCAAAGAGCCTTCTCTGGTTGTCCTCTTCCCTACTGTCTATGAAAGGATCAGTGCTGGCTTTGCAAGGTGCCGTGTTGTGTTCTCTGTACCCTGGATGCCTCCCATCCATCTGCACATAGGTACTCAAGTGATTAACAAGGTTTTAAGCAGCATACAGACTTGGTTCTTCCAAAGGGCCATTTTGGAACAGTGGCAAATGGACTAAGACTGGTATACTGGAGAGTCATGTGTTCCCTTTGCTTTCAGCTCCATCCCATTGTTTGGCCCACTAGGCTGTATTGGTGGCAAACTAGTTCCACATTTTTTCTCTTTTCGTCTCAGCATCTCATGGCACTTCTGGCAACAGTGGTAGTAAATCCAAGTGCAGGCTCTAGACTCATGCTAGGCCCCTGGTTCTTATGAGGGCATCACAATGCTCACAGGCTTTGGCTCTTATGTTAATGAACAACAGCTGAGAGGCAACCTATCCTCTCCCATCCCAGAGCCAGTGTGTCCAAAACACCCAGCCCTCCTATCATTGGTCACCACCCACAGTTCTTCAAAAAGCTAGGGAAACAGACACAGGTGGGGCAGGTCAGACTGAGTCAGGAAGACGACTGGGTCTGGGTCCTAGTTTTTCTGTCATTAAAGGCAGGCCAAAGTCCTGTGCTTCCCCTTCCCCTGCAGGGCTCTTAGCCTTTACCATGAGCAGGTTCTGCTGCTGGGGCCAGAGGGTGAGCTGAGTGCACAGGACACAGCCACAGACACCATTTCCTGCCCTCCAGAGCACACACTGGTGGGGAGCACAAATGGGAGACTGGCAATTCCTGAGAAGTCTCTTGATGCTGAACACCAGAATTAAAAATTTATTATCTATTTTGAGAAAAACCCACCCCTCAGAGCTGCTGGCCACTACCCCGCTTTTGGCCAAGGTCCTGCACAAAGAAGGCTTAGCCTGAAGGAAGACACCCGCTGGTGGAGAGGGGAGTGGGGAAGGAGTGCCCATGGCTAGGCCCCCACAGGGAAAGCAGTCAGGTCCAGGGGATAAAGTCCATGCTGAGGGGATGGAGTCACTTGGCCAGGTCCTCTGCTACAGCTTTGCGCATCTTGTCCTTGAGGTAGGCACCTTTTTGCCATTCAGACTTGAGTTCCATCCATTCATAATAAGGAACCTGGTATGAAGACAGGTCAGGGCAGGCTAGGATTCCCTCTCCCCCTGCCCAGTCAAGAGGCTCACCTGCTGCTTTCCCTTTGACAACCCCCCCCCATCAGTGCTTACTGGGGGAATGCATGCCATGTCCCTTAGCCTCTTAGTCCCGAAGGAAGATGACTACTGAGCTGCAAGAACTCTGTGTGGGAAAGAACCCAGCTTTGCCACTGCTAGAAGGGGCTTGAGAGAACACAGGCCAGGGGTCAGCAAGCTATACAGGGTTCAAGAATGGTTTTTTAATTTTTAATTTTTTTTAAAGAAAAAACAACCTGTTATTTGAAAATGTGATAGAAACCTTCTGGGCCCAGAACAACCAATTAAGAGAAGCAATGAACCCAAAGTGTCCTAGCACATTATTTAGGACCTAGACGACTTAAGTCACATCTTAACTCTGTAGTCCTTCTACTCCTGGATCAGACTGCCACAAATTCTATGCTGACCATACAGAGGGGTGCCTATGGCAGGCATCTAGCTGGTCTCACCTTTCCCAAGAGCCCTGGGCATGGAAACAGAAGAGGTAAACTTGAACCCTCCACACTACCTACCTCAGAAGGCAGACTTCAGAATGCACCCAGACTGAGCACTGTCATGAGTGTCATCATCTGGTTGCCTGGCTTATGGTCGAAGCTCAGGCTGGGGTAGGAGGGAGTGAGACTGGAAAGTGGTCAAGGAGAAAGGCACAGCCACTACTAGCTACAGGAGATTGTTAACCCAGGTTCCAGGGATGGCTAGGGTGCGGGCTATCTGTTGGTCCCCTCTGGTCCCTTTTCTCAGCATGTACTCAATATGCACTATTGCTGTCAGTACTTACCCAGGCCCTGCCTAGTCTAGATACTTACATCAACAACTAGGAAGCCAGCAGCCAGCATGTGGCGCCGAGCCAGGAAGAAACGACCCAGCAAGTCCTTGCTCCGGCTGCTGAAGTTGGGAAATTCCCACCGCAGGAAAGCCAGCCTAGGAGGAGGAGGAAGGAATTGATGACTATTCTCCCTACTTACTCAGGAGAGAGCAGTGTGCAGTGCCCCAAGAACTGCAGAGCTGCCATGGCCCTCACTGGGGACATAATCAGTGGTCCCTGGCCACCTACCTCTTGGCCCCAGGGGGCAGTGCCTGGCTGCCAGCTGGCTGGGCAAGATGAGGAGCAACAAAGTCCCTCAGGGTCAGAAACTGGCCCTCAGTGTCCAGTAGCACCTCAGCATCTGGCAAAGGGGTGTTGGGAAGAAAACCCATTAGGTGACATTCCTTGGACACTAGCTGGGCTGAGAGCCCTCCCCGCTCATGGGTGAGAAAAGACCAGGAGACCCAATGTGCTCAAGGGTACACCATTCGTAGGAATCTAAGAGTCACATGGCCTGGGAGTGCCCAGGAAAGGAGAACAAGTGAGCTCACGACATCTACCCTGCTGTCTGTAGCAAGACAGGAAAAACGGAGAAGCCCCAGGTTGAAGCTCTAGCCAACTAGAGCCAGTCCTTGCTACAGAGGAGGGCATGGGCGAGAGCAGACTCAGCTGTAGAGCTAGGACAGTCAGGGAGTCTTGGGAAGAATAGCCCCCACACCAACCAACAGGGAGCCCTTACCCAGAACCCAGCCATACTGCGTGGCCACTGCAAAGCAGCCCTTGTCAGCACTCCCCAGCAGACCCTTCAGGGTCTCCTGCAGCTCCTTTTGCAAAGGGGTCACCTTCTTGTCAAGGGCTGTGGGCCTGGGACCCAAGGCCACGGATGGTAAGAGGGGGCCTGTGTACTCAGGGTGCTCCAGCTGGGCAGTGGCGTTGATGTGTAGCAGCTTCTGAAAGACACGCTGATCCTTTGGAGATTCCTCACCTAAGGGCCCAAATGACAGTGAAAGGGAGGGAAATTGCCAGAGATTCAAGTTGCCCATCCTGGCCACTGCTCCTTCAAGGACCCCAGAAGCAGGGGTAGAGGAAGCCCCAAGTGAGAGAAGAGCTGCATCCTCCACCCTGGACCTGAGTCAGCAAGTAGAGTCAACTGGTCACCTGCAGGGAATGGATGAAGAAGGGATTAATGCCAAGGTGGAGCCCTGGTCTTCTCCAACATCTGACTATCAGCAGAACCTGATGGCACCTTTCTTGTGGCAAAGGCTCATGTCAATAAGGGGGCGGGTAGAGCAGGGAGTGATGTTCTCAAGCTCACAGATATGCCCCACCCTCCCGGCCACAACTCACCTAGAAACTGGGTGTGGAATTTGGAGCAGAGGACAGCTCGCAACTCTGCCTCTTGCACCTGCTGTAGCACACACAGAGACCATACCAAATCCACTTGCAGAGCTGGGCTCAAGCCTTCCAATTCTGATGCCAGCTTCTTGTGCACCTGGGTTAAGGACATGGTGTGTGTGTGGAGAAACCAATGGTCTACAAATATCCCTGGGCAGACAAGAGCCAGCACTGCCTAACAACTGGTTATATGGAGGCCACAGGGCTAGGGGCAACACCCTAGCTGAAGGGCACCTAGAGCCAAGTCTGGAACATCCTAGGGCAGGAGGTATAAGAAGCCTTCTCTATCCCCTTGAGCAGTGGATCCCTTCACAATCCAGGCAGCAGGGTGGTGCTGTCTGATGCCAGCATTTAGCTAGGCTTTCTCTTACCCACTCCCCAGCAGGGACCCAAGTCACAAAACCATTTAATCAGTAACTTCCCCTAAGTGAGTGCCTAGGGCAAGACATGTTTCTAGCAGTCTCTGAGAGGAATCAGAACTTAGCAAGAAGCCTCAGATAGTGAAAAGTACCGGCCAGCTGCAGGCAGGCAGACATAGAGCCAGCATGGGTTTGGCACCCACTACTGACTGCTCCCAGGAACTGTGCCAGACAAGCTCCCATTGGGGTCTGTGATCTGGTATCTAAAGGAACACTAGGGTCAAATATGATTTGACCTTGCCCATGACTCCTGAGTCTTCAGAGTGTTCTTCCTCCCTAATGGGCACATATACCACTTGAGATCTTCCTGGCTTGTCTCTGAAGCGGACCAAGGTTTTAGAGAACAAAACCAAACCCACTGCCATCAAGTTGATTCTGACTCATAGTGACCCCCACTGGGTTTCCAAGGCTATAAGTCTTCACAGAAGAAGATTGCCTCATCTTTCTCCCATGAGGCGGCTGGTGAGTTTGAACCACCAACCTTCTGGTTAGTAGCCAAATGCCTTACCCATTATGCCACCAGAGCTCCAGCAGGGCATTAAAATGAGAAATGTACTCCAATCCTGACTAGCCTAATGCTTGCTCACAGGCAGAGTCACCCATCCTGACTACTCAACCCACATAGCAGTATGTCCAGATTTCTGCATGTGGGGCTCTCAAGACCCTGCTTTTTGCCCCCAACAATCCTGCAGATGCCCCGGTCCCAGCCAACTCTGGCCCTGCTCTCCCCTGCAGTAGGTGTTTCTCATTTTCCTGCATTTGTCTCTGTGGCTCCTCTACCAGAACCCTCTGCCTCTTCTTCTCTCCTCTAACTGCAAGCTTCCCTTGAAGGGCTGAGCTATTAGCTAGCAGGGAGGAAGGTAAAGAATGTGAAAAGGGAAGCAAGAGACCATACCAGGTTGAAGAACCGATCTTCTTGTTCTGGATGGAAGTTCAGACGAGCAAAAGCCAGGACCACGTTGCACAGATGTGGCAGCATAACATTCTGGGCTTTGTTCAGGATGTGCTAGGGCCAGAGTCAGGGAAGGCAAGGAATAAGGAATATGGCTTCAAGGCTTTGCTCCACACCAAGTCGCAAGGATGGTTATCAGAGCTTGGACCCTCCCACTGGGCTGCACATGCTCCTAGGCAGAAGGGTAACTTACAGAGAGTCAGTGGACTGCAGGTCAGACCTGCACTCACCCAACTAACATTTGCTCATAAAGGACAAGGGTGCCAAAAAGCACTTAGTCTTTGCTCTGAGAGAACCTAGGAGCTGTCTCCCTCTGAGCATGGTCAGCAGCACACTGATGGCGAGACACCCTTTTCTGTGCAACTTCTCATGAGCAGATACTTTCAGAAGGGACTGCTCTGAGGAAGAGAGGAAGGAAACTTCCTTAATGTCGACGTTTTGTCACACCCAGGCCCAGATAGTATCCAAAAGCTGCTGTCAACTGTTACAGCAACCCAAAGACAGAGGGATACGTTTATAATGTTCAGCAAGACAATGGAGAAAATACTTATCAAATACACTTTTTTCACAACTAAATGCAACTATCTCTTTTCAAATATACAAAAAAATAAATGTGTTGCCATAAGTAAGCATTTTCAGACTAGATTTGTTCTAACTGAAATAGTGGTCTGAAACCAACCCAACTGAGCTAGTTCATCCCACAATGGAGAGGGGTGGGTCAGGCATGGAGCAGGCCTTTAGAGTTCATGTGTCCTCATCACTCCAAAGCCCAGGCCTCTTGGCCAGCATGTCAGTCCCCAGCTTACCTGGGCAAAGGCTTCAAAAAGGGGCAGATTAAGCCACTTGAGAAAGGCCAAGGATTTGGCGCAGCGGGCCACCTCACTGGGTGTCAAGCTGGGCACGTGGGGAAGCAGATCAGCTGCCAGTCTCTGGAACACCTGGGTCTGATGGAAGTTGAGTTTGCCTTTAGGACAGAGCAGACCACAACTGTTTACTTACTGAGACCAAAAGGCCCACCAGTCTATGCTACCCTCTTACCATATCCACTCTCTTCTCAAGGTCTAGAAGCTTGGTGTTTGTAACAAAATCTATCCCTGAGTCCCAGGAGAAAGGAACAGGGCCCATGAGTTACAGTGTTTCTATGGCAGCCTTTTGGGCCAGTGCCTACCATGGGTGGGGCAGGCACTGAATTTGACACAGCTGCAGGCCATTAGTCTGCCCAGGAGCTGTCCCCACCCCATAAATGGCTCACCATAGGCATAGGTCAGGTCCATAAGGATGCCTTTCGTCAGCGTAAAGGGTTTCTGGACCAGGTGATAGGAGATGGCCCGCAGCAAGGGCACCGACCGTCGGTTCTGTGCTGCTAGAGCCAATAGCACTTTTCGCAGATCATCAGGACCAAACTGTTCCACCAGTTCCAGGCACTGTCAACCACAGCCATGTACACAGGGAGTCAGCTTGATGGCCTGAGACATCAGGGAAGAGTTGGGGGCAAGGGTCCCATCCAGTGTAGTCCCCATGAGACATCAACTGGGCCTGAGCTTACTCAACACAGGCCCTGTCTGTGCAAGGTCTGCCTCTTATCCACATCTCGGGGAGTTCCTGTACCTGGAGCAATGGCTGCAGCCAACTTGTCCCCAGGTCGTCCCATGACAGAGCACTATAAACTACAGAGCTTACTGTGACAGCCATCTGAGCCAGCCCTCACTACAACAGTATCAGGGACTAAATATAAATATGATTTAAGTATAGGGGCTGAAGCTGAGAATGGAGAGGCACAATGGTCTCTAGGAAACAGTTTTAACCAGAACCCATTACTGTAGAGCCCGATCCGACTCATAGCAACCCCTCCTTGGTTTTCCGAGGTGGTATCACCATGGAAGTAGGTTGCCCAATCTTCCTTCCGAGAAGTGGCTAGTGGGTTTGAACTGCCAGCCTTCTGGTTAACAGTCAAGTGCCTTAGGCACTAGGCTATCAGAGCTCCGGAATTCAAGATTCAGGCCTGACCAATAACTTTTTGTGTTATTTCAGGAGTGGCCTGCCACCCCTATTTCCCAAGGTTGCTGAAAGGGCCAAATTTGGGTGAATGCATGAAGCGACTTTAAAGAAAAACAAACTCCATTCTCTAATAGGTTTCGTACAGGGAATAAGCTTGGGGTGAGGCTCTGGCATGGGTTAAAGGGAACAAAGTTTCCACAGAAGTTCTGTCCACCAATGCTCCTTAAGGACCATGGAGGAGTAAGCAGGCAGATGATGGAGGTTATCCCTACTACTGCCTGCAGCCCTTGATCCTTCCCTCACAGCACAGTCCTCCAGAGAGAAGATCAGCACCCTCAAGCTTAGTTACTAAACAAGGATGACTCTACTAGTACCTGTGTGGACAGTGTTTCTAGGCCTCAGACCTCAGCTCCTGCCCAGTGGACATGGCAAACTCAGACCCACATTCCCTTCCCCAGAGGCTTGTCACCCAGGGAAACAAGTTCCAGAGCTTATGGTGGGGGATGACAAGGTGGGCTCCACTTGCTTTATAGCCCAGTACCTTGTCTTCTAAACGGTTCATCAGTGGCTCTGAGAGATGGCCCATTTTCATCATCATGGCCACTACTGTGCGGCCATCTTCAATTTCGGCCCAGCGTCTCTCCAGGTGCATAAGCAGCTCTGCCAAAAGCTCCTGTGAGTCTCGCTCCTGCATAAAGGCAGTGCTCGACTCAGCCAGGAAGGCCAGGTGCTTGTACTTGAGCCTCCGCATGCGCCAGCGGACCTCCTGCTCCACTGACAGCAGCTCCTTGGAGGTCTTAGGGAGTGCCAGTGCATAGAGACTCCGGAGCAGTTTCACGAGGGTCCCATGCCAGATGGAAGTTATCTAGACAGGAAAACGATATAGAATAAGGGTCAAATTCATAACCATATGTGATACTACTTTTTCACACAGTGGGCAAAGTTTGCTGGATACTGCCTCTTTGACCCTACCTCATAGATATTAAGACTGACCAGAGAAGAAAGACCTCCTCTGTTCTGTAACTTTAACACAGGCACTTCTCACACAGGAGCCCCCCTATCAGGCTGCTCTGTGGTGAGAAAAGCCCTTCTTTGGGCTTTTCAAGCCAGGTCCTACAGACTCTAAAATAAATCATATTTCTGCTCAAGTTGAACAAAGTCATTTGCTATTGTATACAACCAAGAACTCTGAATGAGAAGAGAAATTTTACACTTTCCAATCATGAATTTGACCTAATGTGACTGATTAAACAGAGACCACAATCTCTATGATGTGGACTGTGTCAAAAGAGGCACACGACAGACAGGGAGCCATGGGCAGGGCTATACTATTCACTTCTGTTTACCTTGCACTAATAGATCTGCGCTGCAAACACTACTGTAGCCTCAGGACCAAAGGTCAGAGAAAAGAAGCTTGTAGGAGTGTAAATTGAGCGCTACATAAGGAAGCAGTGAGGCTTTTTAAGTCAGTTTATCATCAAATTTATTACTTTTCTTGCAAGGACAGTGAAAAATTTTTAACTTTTCTTCAGGAAAATAACTTGGTTATTTTGTCTGAGAAGCTCTTTCTCTGCAACAAAACAATCATAACACAATTTCTGGCAATGTGAGGTTTCTCCAGAATGCAACATTAAAGCAGAAAGTAGAACAAGTCCAGGGATCAAGCATACTACAGCTAATACTCCTTCTATCGGGTGTGCCACAAAGCAAACCCACAGATTACTGGCCAAAGGATGCAGAGGTCACTCTGCCAGTATGCTTGAATACTGGCAGAAAAGCCCTTCAGTATGTCAAATAGCAGTGGGCTAAAAAGATCTTCTACTATCAAACTTCCAGCCATCTTGGGTATCAGCAAGCTGGCTGGCTGCCTGCTGCTGTCCTCACCATCACTTCTAAATGGGCTCTTACTAGATGCTAGACATTCTTCTAACACTTACACACCAACATCTATGATGGAATTTCATCCCCACTTCACATAGACAGAAACAAAGGTTTACCAAAGTAATTTTCCCCAAGTCTCAGAGTAGGTGGCAGAACCAGAATCTGCACTCAGGCAATCTAAAACTAGTGCCTAGTCTTACTCTTTGCAAGACAGTCCCCCCCACTACCCCAACTCTGGCTCTACCTTAGTTTCTAAGGCAATGGTGACTCTGCTGGTACCTGCAGGAACTGTTTCCAGGCCTCAAAGAAATATAGATCCATGATGGCAATAGCTACTACAGGAGCCTTATGGCCCAGATTCTGCCCATATGGGAGATAATACAGAGTAAATAGACATCAGTTGTAATCAAAACATCTGAGATCAAGTACTGGCTGTCATACTATGTTAAGTCCCTTAATTCTGCCACTACTGGTGGTGTTAAATCTCTCAACTTCTCAGTCTTGGCTTTTGCATCTCTGAACTGTGCTGCAAGGGTGACTGAAATAACACACAAAACCAACAAATGCTAAAGTTTTTTAAGGGTTGTGGAGGAAGGTGAGATGTATGGAATTTAACATATTTTAACATCATGAGTTATGATATTTTCCATATTACCCTACCTTATTAAAGAGCAGAAACAAAACCTGACCATGTCCCACTACACTGACTTTATAATCTATACTTACAGGACATGTGGGTTTTAATACTTGAGCACCTATGGTATAAGACCACTCTAGGAGTTCCGGCAAGATGGCGGACTAGGCAGAAGGACTGTACAGATCCTCTTCAACAAAGAAAAGGGAAACCAATTGACACAGACACAGAAGATAATCTTGGACTGCTGAGCCTTGAAGGGAAGGATACAGAAGTAGACTAAACCCCAACTAGCAGAAGAATTTG